CCTTCGTGAAGCCATCTTCAACACTTGGAGCAACGTTCCCACTAGCCTCCTGGAAACACTGGCATCAAGCATGCCTAAACAATTGTTTGAAGTCATCAACAAGAATGGTGGAGCTACTCATTACTGGAGTCCTTTTTTTGACACTTTGATTTCTGTTTTGGGGGGGTTTTGGGTTTTTTTTTTTTAGCTATGGTCTTAAACTTTTGATCAGCTGAAAAAATCATGTTTGAGTGTAAATGCAGTTTTCAGACAATTCCCTGCTCAAAAGTTCTTGTCTCTTGCACTGATTTCTTCTTTTAACATTGTGAAGCTCTACTTAGAACCTTAAGATCCGATAGTGCAAAATGCAAATTCTTGCACTTTTTTGACTGGTCTTAAGATTTTGATCAGGAGTGTATAGTGCGTGTTGTCCTGCTGTGGGCTCTGTTGGTCCCACAGTCTGACAGCTGCAATAAGGAAAGATTCCTCCTCATGTCGTTTCTGTAGATGGACGGTGAAGCCGATGGAGCAAGCCCGAGAGAAGAACAGAACAGTTGTGTAAACTTTCTGATGGAAGTGAAGGACCTGCAACTGGATGCTGAGGAATGCAGCAGCAAGAGCTCCCACAAGGTGGACCAGCTTTAAAACATGACCTGTCAGCTTCAGTGCCACGCAGCGGTAAACATCACAACGCTTTGCTTTAGCTGTAAAAAACATATCAGAAAAGATCCTTAACATGTCCACAAATATTGTGCATACAAAAATCCGATTGAGAAGGCAGAGATGGTGCAGAAAAGCAGGTGGATCCAATAATCTGATAAACTGTGGGATTAACTGTGTGCTCAGTCAAAGTAGAGTCAAGTTTATCCTAATAGAGAAACACAGATAATGGAAATTTGAAAGCCTTTTGTCAAACATTCAAACAACAAAAAGGTTTACCTAAAATTTAGCAGAATTCTACATGGTATGTAGGGCCTAAATGTACTGATGTTTCCTTTTGACCGTGTTTCATTTTATTTCTTCAAATCAACACGTATTTTATGCATTTTTTTTCAGGAATCAAATGGTTCTCCGAACAATCAAACACATACAGGTGAGAAGTTCAGGATTAGGAAGCTGTGCTTCTACAGCGTTGCTGTTTTTCATCCAGAAAATTTGCCACAGCTCACTGCAAAAAAAAGTGTCTAGTTTCACACATGTACATTTTATCTCTGAAAACCATTGACAGATGATTATACACGTCAAATTTATAAAATTATAGGAAAATGTGCAACATATGTTATATATTGTGTTGTCTTAAAAATGCTCTGTAAATCTAACAACTGAGGCCTTTTCTTCATATTTCAAGTTTAACTGTGGTAATTTAGTACAAGTTTATTTAGTTTTGTTTGGTGTACATGTTGTGAAATTGTTCTAATTGTAGGGAACAGTGGATCGGATTCTGAACCTGACTGGACCGAGTCATCTTGTCCTCTCGCTGCACAGCCAGTTCTTGGGTCGCAGGACAAGTGGAGCTTTACCGGAGAGGAGGAGGTGAGAGAAAAGGCACGGTTGTCACAGATGTCACTTTGTCAGGTTGAATTTCTAAGTGTGAAGATCACAAAATCTGAAAACAGACAATCTGAACTTGTAATTATTAAATCAGTAACTTTATTTTTGTCTAAGTTTATAACTAAATGGAAACTTTGATTTTCCTTCACATCCAAAACCACATGTTGTGTTCGTTCTACACAGAAGAGGGCAGCGTTGTTCAGGTATTTGGATAGTCTTCCTTCCAGTTAAAACTCCTCTGTGTTTTTGACAGAGAAGCCCCACACTGGAGCATTGGCTGTGTCTGGATAACCAGCACAACATGGTGGACGTTATCGGAGCTGTGGGCTCGCCTGTTCCACATGTTTCTGATGACACCTACCTGTCTTTACCCAGTCCTGAATCAAAGCCAGCTGATGTTAGTCCTGCCGGATGCAGCCTCATCACGGACACCTGCAGTCCCTCTGCTTCTTCACGTGGTGTGACCGCTTCAGACTGGGACTTTCTCAGGTCCACGTCCAAGAGTCCCCTCTCCTGGGACCAGTATCCTGTCAGCGCTGCGGCGCACCTGCACCTCCTGGGAGAATCCTTGTCTCTGATTGGATGTCATCTTCAGGAAACAAATGTAGGTAGAAATATTGAAATCTATGTTTGCTCTAATTATTCTTTTAATACATCTGTTTGACATGCAAGGAGTGCTACTAAAACACAACGTAATGACTGAATGTGATCTGCAGAACAAACAAATGTCATTTTCAATTTGTCCATCTTCTGACCTCCTGTTTTTTAATAATGACTCAAATTAGAAAGCTGGCGAGTGGTTTGATGGACCCAAAATAAATTTAGCTCAGAGGACTCTGTTCTGCTTTTTAACAAAATGCCTTTTCGTAAATTTGAAGAAGTGGATCCCAAAGTTTTCAGTGTTTGACCCACAAAATCAAAGCAACAGAGACTCATGAACCTGATTAATACAATATTAAAGTGATTGAGCTGATCTGCCTGTAGTTAGCTCTGAAATCCAATTTAAAAATAGTAAATTATAAAGCAGTAATTCCCACCCAAGTCTAAAGGTGGAGCTAGAGGACCCATGACGAGACACAAAGCTTTACTGGCACGTACATATTTTGCACGTTCAAATGATTATTTAAAGTGTGGGCAAACATTTAATTGCATAAGACACTAYTGTTACACTATTTACACAACAAAAAAAAACCTTTAATGGTGTTCTGTCTGTGCAGAAAACGGTGTGTGTGTCGAGCAGCCTCTCTCTCCTCCTGGACTCTCTGCTGTGCGCGCTGACTCCACTGATGTGCCTCACAACACAGATCCCTGAGCTGGCGARCTGCACGGAGCACACCCTGGTGAGCAGCCGACTGCACAAACACACCTGCAGCAACATGTGCACCTGTTATATTTATGTGCTGTAGGAGAAATTAAATATATATATTAATAATAATCCTTCTTTAATCCTTTTTAAGGCCTCCACTCTGGAGAACATTGCTTATGTGATGCCTGGGCTGTAGGGAAAAAACTGAACACAACTATATGTTTTTTTCTCATAAAATTTAATTTATGTTCAGATTCTGTTTGTGTAAAGATCATATTTCAGTTAATAATTCTTTATTATATCAATTGATTAAACTTAATATTTCAACATTCATTTTTGTCAGATCCTTGTTTTCTTTGATCAGTGAAAGAGATTTATTGAATTGATCATGTGTGTGTGTGGGGGGGGGGGGTAGAAATTAAAGCTGAGGCATCACATACCTTTTATTTCAACTATTTAATTGTTAAAATAATTAGATAGGAATTTTCGACTGCTTTAGAAATGGTTTGAATGTTGTTGTTGTTTTTATTTTTAGCAAACATATGAAGGAGACCAGACATGGAGCTAAAAGTATATTCTTAATAGCACCCTGAGAAGAAGTGACTGACTTTGACACACACTTACACATGCACCTACCTTGCATTACATAATTACAAATTAGGACCAATTTATAGCTATTGTTATTTCTTGTTAGCTTACATCAACATCCTGAGGAAATTTGCTGAGGAAGTAACTTCAGTATTTTTTTATTATATAAAAAAACTTGCAGTTATAATTTGTCTGCATGTCTGTCAGCAAATTATTTCACAAAGCAGTGAATAAAATTTAATGAAATTATCAGGAAGTAATCACTGAAACTGATCAGCTTTTGGGGTTAGTGCTGTTTAAGAAGGCCGTCTCTGATAATAAATGTTGTCAAACACAAAAACATGTCCATAACTCTTAGTTTTACAGACATTGTGCTAAAATTTGCTGTGGTTGTAGCTGAGAGTGGTAGCTAACAAATCACGAGAGATCTTGGTTTAAAGCATGTGATTTGCATTTCTTTGGGGGAAGGCCATTCATTCAGGTTTCATTTTCACATCACATATTTTGATTCTTTGTTTCTTCTGATGTTGTTTTTTAATTTAATTGTGTTTAGTTTAAATAAAAATGCTAAATATTTTTTCTATGACTCATTTGATCACACAAAACAAACTTGTGTGTCTCTCGGGTCCTCCGTCTCTGTATGTTGTAAACATGTCACCTATGAAGTGCCTCAACTTTAAACCACACGTGACAGTAGCATATTTACAGCTCGTTTCTCTCCTTAGCAACTACAACCTCTGAAGAAGGACATTGTTTTTTTGACAGATGTCCAGGAGCTCATAGTCTTCGTGGGTGCGGCAGATTAAAAAGAAAGAGAAAAAAAAAAAAAAAACGGAGTCCGAGTGATTCACATGCGTGGCTGGTCCGCCTCGTTATGGAATGCTTGTCTACTCCCTGCCGACAGACAAACCTGTTGCACACAAATATCTTTATTTTCCTATTAGTGTTTGTGTAGTCGGAGCGGGGAGTGGTGAGATGGSTAACGCTCTGACAATGCGAGCCTCACCTGAGCTGGCACCTTTTTAGTCGTGGATCAGGAAGCGTTGCGTGCTGAAGCCGTCTGGAAGAGGAGAGATGATTTAGACACAACTGGAGAAACCGGGACTCAAATGCAGCTGGCCTCAGACAGACAGGTGAGTGGGTTTTCTGTCTCATATATGATGCAGCTATTTCAGATAGATTTTGTAATCTGGGGCATTTTCAGCTAATGTTTAGTGAAGATAAGACTTTTTGGGTTGTATTCGTTTGGTGCAGTGAATTGACTTTTATGTTAAGTCGTCATTTTAAGGTTCACTCCTGTTTAACTTTCTGCACTGATGTGTGCTGGATGCTGTCATAGTGAACTTGCTGTGTGATGAGTTTTTATTTTTATTTTTCCGTGAGTGTTTTGCAGCTCATGTTTTGTGTTTGAATATTAGCCTAAATATAATGTGTAAGCGTGGATAGAATGTGGGCCGACTGGATTTACAAGGTGTGGCTTATCAAACATCACAGGGTTGTGGTTTTCCACTTAAATGAACAAGTTTGAAGGACGGGCACTGGTACCTGGTAACTTCTCTTGTTTCCCTTATCACATGGCTAGTGATGTTTGATCAGGTGCTCGTGTTTAATTATGCTGAATTTGTTGGAACGGAGACAGAATCATGTGTAAATTTAGTCATATTTCCTTATTTGGATCCTGAGTCAAGAGTGTGCAAATTATAWTTTCTTACCAAGCAGCACATCTGACTCTTCCTTCGTCCTCCTGTTTCAGGTATGAGTGAATATCTAAGAGAAAACTCCAAAATGTCACCCTCGGCTTCGGACCTGAGGGTGCTCCTTTTAGGAAACATTGGTTGTGGGAAGACGTCTTCAGCGGACACCATCCTAGGCCAGCTGTCCTTCGCTTCCACGGCCCTCGACTCCCGGAGCTGCATGTCGCGGCAGGGCCTCAGCGAGGGCAGGAGAGTGACCCTGGTGGAGGCTCCGAGGTGGTACTGGAACGGCTGCAGGATGGAGGACGGCGTCAGGAAGGAGACGGAGCAGGCCATGGCTCTGCTCGCGCCAGGCCCGCACGTCGTCCTGCTGCTGGTGCCTGTCAGCCAGTTCACAGAGGTTTGTCCACTCCCACTGCAATGCTGAGGGGTTTTGTGTTTACACATTCACARTTAAAGCCCTTTTACTCAGGCTGAATTGAGAAAACCTACAGCATATAAACACTTTTCTATCAAATAGGCAATAATTTAATTTACATGTCCTGATGCATCTCAATAATCCAGGTAGAAAAAAAAAAAGTAGGTCCTCTGGTTCTTCTCTAAAGAGGAACCCATCCAGAGGACCTACTTACAGTATTTTTTTTCTTTTTGATTTTAATTTAATTTATAAATTTTTCCTTTAAATTTTTTTTTTGGTTCACCCAGATGGACGGTCGTGTGCCTGCAGAGTTGGAAGAGTTGTTTGGGAAGGAGATCCTGGATCACACCCTGGTGCTGCTGACATGTGGAGACTACTTAATGGGAAAAACACCTGAGGTAGAGAGATTTATACGGAGCCTGCAAGGGGACATGGGGGGGATTTTTTTTACTTTGCATTACCTCACAATACCTTTTGTGTTGCCTCGCAAAAGATTGTTTTGTACATGAACTGAAATCAGACTTTTATTTTGAAATATCTGGTTACCAAAACAGGATGTGTCGCCACAAGTTCGTGAAGTTGGCATTGATGTTGCATGGCTGCACTGTATTAAAATATTGGCATTTGACATACTTCCATGCGTGGCTGTGCGATATTTTCATTCTGAAGCTGAATTAAAGCAGTAGGCTAACTCGCTAAAGTGAACATGTGAATTTGTTAACAAACCGGCAGGCACAACAGTGATAAAGTACTTTTGCAAGGGAACGCAAAAGGTATTGCGAGGTAACAATACTATTGCGCGTGGGAACGCAAGAGAAAAAAAAATCTCCCATGTCCCCTCTGTAGATTTACACCTAACTTTAACTTCTGGTAATTTTTAGTTTTTTATTTTTACTATGTAGGATTAAATTCTTGATCCAAAATGTGAATAGAAAACATTGAAAGTGAGCTTATTAGTAAAACTTCCTTCTAGTTTCGTCCAATAGAATGTGAGATGTTTTCCTTTCATCTCTTTTGTGTTTTAATAACGCTAATCTGCTTCCTTCTCCCTCCTCCATCCATTCATACATTGTTCAAGTATTTTCTTACCCGTCATCACGTTGATGTTTGCTCAGATAAAAAGAGATGAGCAGTATTTCAAATATAAAAAATATATATATATATCTTAAAAACACACTATTGTTCTGCAGGAATACCTGCAGAAAGAACACCCAGGCCTGAGGCAGATGATTGAGTGCTGCGGAGGGAGGTACCACGTCTTCAACAATCGTCAGCGACAGGACAGAGAGCAGGTCAAAGAGCTGCTGGAGAAGGTTAGCTCTCAAACCTGTGGGGGGRAAAAAAACAATTACTAGACATTACTATACCTTTCGGCAAAACTGGTCAGCTTCTGAGAATGTGTGGTATGTCTCCCATGACTGTATTGTTTCACACACTGAAACTCACGCCCAGCAGCACGCGGAACTAGTTTGGGAAACAATAACATCACTTTTACCAGGTAAAATATTACAAATAAATGTGTTTCGAGTCAGCAATGGGTTGAAAAATATGGTTTTCAAATGTCAAAGTTTAGGAATTAGTTCTTATCTGTTCTTTGTGACCAAAATAAGACTCAGTGCTACAACTTTTTTAGCTGGTGTCTCACTGGACTGTGTTGGAGTCAAAATGCAAGAAACTGTGCTGATTTTTATATGAAATCACACTGAATCCTTTCTGATTACCCCAAGATCTCAAGACAAGATAAATTTTAAAATACTTTTTGTTAAATCAGGCATTAAAATCCACCCCCACAAAAAAATTGCCTAAAAGCCCATACAGGAGCTTGTGCTTCCTCTGCACGCAGCACCTACTTTAATACACCTGCACTGAGTCTGTGAGTGTGTATTTACACACCTCGACTGAGGTGGAGAAGGTAAACAAAACTTGTTGATGCTTAGTGTGGTTCATGCAAAGACCCGGACACCTCGAGGCAACAAACACTTCCACTTACTGCCTGAGGCAAGCCCAGTTCTTACAGATGAGTGAGCGTATTTCATTTCCAATCATTTTTAATATATCTTATGCTGCAATTGATCTAAATTAATAGTTATGGTCAAACTGGATCATTTTTACTTAAGATTAGAATCTACAAGTTATATAGGCCTGTTTAAATAAAAATGTATTCATTAAAATTAGTTTTGCAGTTCAAAATAGAATTTAATAATCATCTCAAAGTGGTGTGCTGATTGTTTTATTTTCCTGATATTGGAACTTTTCTTTAGTGCTGTTTGATATTCTTTAAAACATGACATTTAAAAAATGTTACAGCATAAGGTAAAACTTAAAGTGACATTTAAATGTTTCTTCAGTCCTTTTTCTTTTCTGGAATAATCTGGAATCTTAAGGAAAAAACTTGTTCTGTGCATTGAAGCATGTTGCCTCCATCTTTTGGAATGAGCTGCAACTTTATCAGGATCCTGAAAAAACAGTTTGAGTTAGTTTTAAACATGTTGGAGGCCTGCAAGACTAATCAGGAGTGGTTCATATTAAGAAAATAAAACTGTAAATTTATTAAATAAAATGAGAAAAATTTGAACTTTTTACTATCATAGGCAACAGGCCTAAGAATCAAATCCATGCAGTTATGATTTAAATTAGGGTTAGATTCTTACGATTAAAAAAAATTGTCATTTATTTCTCAAAAGGTGGACAGTATGGTGCAGAAAAACGGGTTCTACTACATGAAAACAGCCCGGGAGAGAGAACTGGACAGACGGGTGAAGGACAGAAAGCGAGAGCTGATGGAAAGTTACCAAGCTCAAAAGGAGGAGAAGAAAAGGACTTTCTCATCGAGGACCTCCCCAAACACAGAACTGCTCAACAGAGAGCAGGAATCCATCATCTTAGAGAGGAGGAAGAGAGAAGAACAAGATGAACTGGACAGCAGCTTGTTTGAGACCATGGTAACTAATGGGCTTCATTCAGCTCCAGCCCCGGAGCAACCTTCTCCGTCAGAGTCGCCGGATTACAGGACATTCACCAGAACGCCCAGTTTCAAGCTGAATGCAGGTAAATAAGGACTCCTAGAGGAGGCCTGTTTCTCGAGTTTTACTGCCTCTTTATATGATATTTTAAAGTGCTGCACGTTCACCATGAAATGGTTAAAATAACAAAATCACGTATGCATTTTAAAAGTCACTGTATAAGCACATTTAATCAGTGTGTAAAAGTTTAAAGTGGCAAAAAAAACACTTACTTTTCTGTTTCATCCCTCTAGATGGAGCTATACTCTCACAAATTTCTGAGGAGAAATCCACACTAAAAATGGTTTCTACTCGTAAGTTGCTGGACTTTTTCAGCTCGTTCACTTCTTTGATTGTTGGAAAATAAAATCTTTATGCAAAATTTTCTTGAATGATTTTCAGTTCACCACAGAATCAACAGCTTTGATGAGGGAACACCCGAAACGTCTCCGACCTCATCTTGTCATTCACCCGTCTTCTCTTATTTCTCCTCCTCACCAACCTCGGCCACCTCTCCTTCATTGTCGTCTTCCTTATCCCCCTCATCCTCCTCCTTGTCCCCGACCTCTCCGGAGCTTCGCCTGGTGATAGTTGGGCGATCTGGTTCGGGGAAGAGTGCAGCAGGAAACCTGATCCTTGGACGGGAGGCGTTTGAGTCCCGATCAGACAGCTTCAAAGCAATCACTCAGAAGTGTGAGAAAAAGAAGGCAGAGATTAAGGGGAAAAGGGTAAATGTTTATAACTCTGATTTACAATTTTTCTTACCAAATTCTATTGCTTTTTAATATCAACTTTGGCGCAGGGCTGGCCTGTGGCATAGGCAGTGTAGTCAAAGGCAAAGGGTGCCATCCATTCAGGGGGTGCCACAAATGGCGGATGAAAAAACATTTCAAGATTTTTTAATAAAGTATAGTTAATTTGGTCTGTAGAAAGTCACTGGTTACTTGGGTTCATGAAGCCTGGTTGTTTGGTTTGAGTAGATTTTTTTTTTTTTTACAAAACCTTCTGGAGAGTATACCTCTGGACCCCCCTAGAACTGCTTCAGTCTGCTGTTGCTCATTAACTTGGACAGGTGTTCCTCATTGCTGTCAGCAAATTCTGGCAGGTTTGAGGTAGACTTCTTGTATTCTGTTTCAAATTAATTATTGTATTAACTATTTTAATTGGACAACCTGGTTTCTAAAGATAAAAAAGTAAGTTTGTATGTATTGGCAGCACAAGTGGCACCTTCTGAATTTTGGCCTGTGGTACCAAATTGGCTAGGGCTGGCCCTGTTTTTGAGTGTTGTCCTACAGTATTGTTACTCTGTTGTAATCATTTACGGCTGTGTTTTCTCTTACCTGCAGGTGGCAGTGGTGGACACTCCTGATTGGTTCAGCTCAGAGCAGACACCAGATGAGGTGCGAGCTCAGATCTCCTCTTGTGTTGCTTTATCCAGTCCCGGGCCTCACGCCTTCCTCCTGTGTGTCCCTCTGGACCAGCCTGCTAAGATAGAGCTGCAGGCCCTCTCTGCCCTGAAGAACGTTTTTGGCCCAGAATCAGTCGAGAAACACACTCTGCTCCTCTTCACTTACGCGGATCAACTGAGGACAAGTGGGAAAGCAGGAGGCAAGAGTGTGGAAGAATACATCGCCAGCCAGCGGGGGGATCTGATAAAGCTTGTGGAAAAATGTGGAGACAGGTATCACATTGTGGAGAAGGGAGCTGGTTTGGTGGAGAAGGAGAATGTGGCAGAGCTGCTGGAAAAGGTAGAGCAGATGGTGAAGGAGGCTGGAGGACAGTGTTACTCCAGTCTTGCTTTTCAGGAGGCAGAAAACAAAGTGAGACAGAAGCAATTAGAAATAACACTGGAGAGAAGAGGTCTAAAGGCAGGGCAAGAGCAAGCAGCAGGTGTGGGGCTGCTCAGGTCAGAGAGGCAGCTTCTGCCTCAAGTAGAGGAAGATGAGGAAATGAGGGACGAGGCAGAAATGAGCGTAAGCCAAATGAATATTGAGAGCCTCCCTCCTGTTTCACCTTCCAGCATGTCTCCTTCCCTTTTCCGTTCCGTTATGGAGAAAATGGAGACCGGTGCGAAGAATTTCCCCCAGCTGTTGGCGGACAGCTCGGCGTGGGTTGGAGAAAGAGCGAAGATGATAAAAAACGGTTCGGTGTGGGGAAACGTCGGCAGTGGCACACAAAATGCCCAGAAAATGGTGGTTGACAGTTCCGTGTGGGGAAAATTGGGAGCTACTGCTGGACAAGTCTCCAAAGCTGTGGGAGATCGGGTTCCCAAGGTAGGGGCTGAAACGCTGGCATCCAGTCCGATGTGGGAGGAAGTGCGCTCCAGGATGAAGAACGTGTCTCAGAGTCCTGTGTGGGAGAAGATAGGCTCCGGAGCTAAACTGGTGGCGAGCAGCTCCGTGAGAGTTGGATCTGAGATYGGTGCTGGTGCACAGAAGGTGGCACAGAGTCCAATATGGGGCACGGTGGGTTCTGGGGCAAAAGCTGGGGCAAAAATGGTGGCAGAGAGCTCAGTGTGGGAGAAAATTGGTACAACTCTGAAACAGGTGCCTAAGGTGGTCATTGGGGGTGCCGTTCTGGGTCTGGTGCTCGGGGTGTTTTTAGGGGGTGTGATTGGTGGAGCTGTCGGGGCGGCTGCAGGATCTGCTGCAACTGAGGTGGGAAGACGTAAGTTCAGCAGCAAAAACAGTTCAGAGGGAGCAAGAAGCATCGACCCAACAATGAACTACAGCCCTGATCCACTGATTCACGGAGGGAAAAGCATGAAAACTGAATGAAAGACTGAAAGCTTGTATAAAATATTAAACAAATTTCTTGTGCAACATGAAATTTATAATTCAAAAACAGTTGTGTGGATAGTTCTCTTGAAAATACACTTTTTTCCTAGCATAATTTTAGTCTTTGTTCTGATTTTTTTACTTTGTTTTTATACCACAAAATCAGAATCTGATGAATGAGGAGGAATGAGATGATTATTGAGGTTAATATGTATAAAAATATGTTATATTGAACTAAGTTTAGTTACATTAATTGTAAAAGTGAATTAAAAAGTATTTGGCTATTATCAATGTTGTTGTCGAGCTAGCAGATACTTTGCAAACAACGCTAAATATTCTCACCATATTTGTAACCAAGTGTTTTAGTTATGCTTTAATGTCTTTGTCTTAACAATGTACGCTGCAAATTTAAGTAGAGGTAATTTAATAAAACGTGTGAAGTTCAGTTTGCCTTTTGACTCATTTTTAAATGATTCTGTAATATTTTGTTCCCCATTTGAAAGGTCCAGCATTATGCAATTATTACCATTTCACTACACAGTGTGAAAACGTGTGGCAAGAACAAGCTGCTTGTGTGTTTGCGCAATATTTCAAAAGCAGCGTCCTCGTCGGCTCCTTTCAGCTGCTCCAGCAGCCACAAACCTGCTGGAGGTGCCACTCCAATGTGCCGTGCAGATTAGTCTCTGCTTGACGGGTGAAACTGAACAAGTGGTCCGGTGTTTTTTTTTTTCTCTGTTGGAGGGCACGGGGTGGAGGCGAGAACATTTTATCTCTGAGACCCAGGCTGGCAAGTGTGACCCTGCTTGGACCCCGTGTATCAGGAGGAGAGAGTGTAAACACCACAGCTGTCACAATCTAGATTTACTGGTTTAGTTCACAACTGTTATTGATGAATTGTCTTTTTTTTGGTCTCAGTTGGTCATAAAAACTCAAAACACTTAAATAAAATGAAGTTGGTCTCCCAGTTTTTATTTCATGCTGGCTCCAGACAACATAAATTCATCTAAATACGTGATTCTGGAAATGTGGTACAGCAACCACTGGTAATACTCAAAGCAAAGTTTGGTATCGACTGTTTAGAAGTTAAATAAATGAACATAAGTTAAATTATGATGTAAAGCTAAATTACAGAGACAAAAAGACAAATGTAGACGTGCATCCAAAGATTACTTTCTCAGTGTCCTGATGCATCTCAGTAATCCAGGTAGAAAAAAAATCAAAAAGAAAAAATAAGTAGGTCCTCTGGATGGGTTCTTCTTTAGTGAAACGTTTTGTCTCTCATCCAAGAGACTTCTTCAGTCTGATGAGTTTCAGGTGAAACTCAGCCTTATAAGCACTGCCTCCACATGGTGGACAAACAGGTTAGTCACATGCAAAAGAGGGCCATTGACTAACTTGATTAGTTCTTCTATTCATAGCGGTTCATATGCCCCATCACCTGACCCGTGTCGTGTTATGTGTATGTATTGAATGCAAGCAGGGCCTAATCAAGCCTATTGTTAGGCGATGGCCCTCTTTTGCATGTGACTAAATAAATCTAAACAAGCCTATTGTTAGGCGATGGCCCTCTTTTGCATGTGACTAACCTGTTTGTCCATGTTGAGGCAGTGCTTATAAGGCTGAGTTCACCTGAAACTCATCGGACTGAAGAAGTCTCTTGGAGGAGAGACGAAACGTTTCACTAAAGAAGAACCCATCCAGAGGACCTACTTATTTTTTCTTTTTGATTACTTTCTCAGATTTTCATTAAAACCCGTCCAGCATTTTGTTACAATGTTTTATTTTGTCATATTTTGCTAACAGACAAGGCGTTTTTGTGGCTTCTTGAATCTCATGGTGGCAGGCATGAATAAAACTACAAAGAGTCTGTGTTGGGCAGAAACTTTCCAGCTCTAAGAAGAAAACAACTTGCTTAAAAAATACTTTGTGGTGAAAGTTTGTACTTTTTTGTGCAAATAGGTCAGTTTATTGAACTTTGTGTTTGGAGTTATTTCCCTTTCATAGCATCTTGCTTGCTGTTGATGGATGGTTAAGGTGATTAAGTCAGAAGCTCTTTTTGACACTCTTTATTGGAAATTGATAAAACTGCAGGTTGACATTAGGGATGACCTGATGAGTTGATTTATACAAAAGCAGCTTGGAGCAGCAGAACAGGCAGATGCAGCCAGATCAGTGTTGTGAAAGCAGCTCTTCCTGTTGTGTGATCCAGTTTTTTTGGCTTTCTTTCATTTTGTGTTTGTTACCCCACATGCCCAACACCCAACCAGCCCCACTCCTCCAGGAAACTCGTTGGCCTTCGATGAGACAGCACTAACTGTAGCCGTTTCCTGGCCGCTCGATAGGGCTGAGCAGCAGAGCCGCGGCTCAACCTTTGTCCACACGTTTTCACTTTTAACCACCAARCTGAACCCCATCTTTAACCACATCCATCCTGACCTTCCTCAAACCCAGCCGCACACCCGAAACTGTTGCTCATAAATCTTTTGCTACATCTGTAGGAAATCCATTCGGTTGTCAGCACATGTGCAAAATGTATGCAACAGCTTCTGCAGCATTTCAGGTTTCATCTATCCTCAGAAAATCTCTTTTTTCATTTTTTTTCTTTTTTTTAAGTCAATAAATAAAGTTAGACTAAACACAACTCCCCCTAACGAGTTGTAAACATAAGATACAGTCTTTATGATTTGTTGATAATGTTATGGTCAATTATTTTCCTGCACAGAATGCTCTTGTTATCCATTTCTTTTTAAGGACCGTTACCAGTCTGCCTTTGGAAAATAGAACAGAATGCACATCTCATATGTTGAATTGTGTCTTGTAGATTGTACTTTTTACATTTATTGGGACATGTTTTGTACTGAAAGTAATATTTAAAACAGATACTTTAAACAGATATGGGGAATTGTACTCCAAATACAATAAATCAAAGTCTGGATTATAATGATTGTTGCTTTTAGTCATCTCTCACACTGAGATTTTAACTTCCTAAACACTTTAGGGAAACTAAAAAGTTTCCTGAACTGAGAGCAGTGATACATTTGGATGTGTTGAGAAATCGTGCTGACAGTGAGCAGTCTTTAAGAGGATGTCAAATAAGGAAGAGCAAGCTGAAGTGCACTTTATTGCTGTCTGCCACAAGTGTGTCACAATGTCAGGGTGGGATCAGTGGCTCTGCTTAGTGACACACAACAAAAACACAGAAAACACAGATACTTTATCTTTAATCTTTGCATCCAAAATGGTGCCTTTTTCCAAATCTGTAAAGGTGGACATTGCAATTCTAAATTAACTTGTTTGTAAGATGCTGCTGAGTTTTTTTTTTTTTTTTTTTGGAAATGTAAGAAATGTATCGGCAATAACTTTTGGCATAATTTCTTTGGATCAGTTTATGTTATTTTCATTAGGACCAGTGTGCTTGTGTAACCCATAGACCTAATTTGTCTAGACCCTTGAGCACTTCAGCACTTGGTTAAACCATTTATGTGTAAAAAGGGCTCTGCGGTCTCCATCCAAAGCTGCAAAATTGGCTCTCGGTGTAGTTGCGCGACGAAAATCGCATCATTTTGTTTTCATTGTTGCTTTGTCTGCAACTTCTCGACACAAGGCCATGGATCTAACTTTTGCTCACAGGACTACACTCACCGGCCACTTTATTAGGTACACCTGTCCAACTGCTCGTTAACACTTAATTTCTAATCAGCCAATCACATGGCGGCAACTCAGTGCATTTAGGCATGTAGACATGGTCAAGACAATCTCCTGCAGTTCAAACCGAGCATCAGTATGGGGAAGAAAGGTGATTTGAGTGCCTTTGAACGTGGCATGGTTGTTGGTGCCAGAAGGGCTGGTCTGAGTATTTCAGAAACTGCTGATCTACTGGGATTTTCACGCACAACCATCTCTAGGGTTTACAGAGAATGGTCCGAAAAAGAAAAAACATCCAGTGAGCGGCAGTCCTGTGGGCGGAAATGCCTTGTTGATGCCAGAGGTCAGAGGAGAATGGGCAGACTGGTTCGAGCTGATAGAAAGGCAACAGTGACTCAAATAACCACCCGTTACAACCGAGGTAGGCAGAAGAGCATCTCTGAACGCACAGTAGGTCGAACTTTGAGGCAGATGGGCTTCAGCAGCAGAAGACCACACCGGGTGCCACTCCTTTCAGCTAAGAACAGGAAACTGAGGCTACAATTTGCACAAGCTCATCGAAATTGGACAAGAGAAGATTGTAAAAACATTGCCTGGTCTGATGAGTCTCGATTTCTGCTGCGACATTCGGATGGTAGGGTCAGAATTTGGCGTCAACAACATGAAAGCATGGATCCATCCTGCCTTGTATCAACGGTTCAGGCTGGTGGTGGTGGTGTCATGGTGTGGGGGATCTTTTCTTGGCCATCTTTGGGCCCCTTGGTACCAATTGAGCATCGTTGCAACGCCACAGCCTACCTGAGTATTGTTGCTGACCATGTCCATCCCTTTATGACCACAATGTACCCAACATCTGATGGCTACTTTCAGCAGGATRATGCGCCATGTCATAAAGCTGGAATCATCTCAGACTGGTTTCTTGAACATGACAATGAGTTCACTGTACTCAAATGGCCTCCACAGTCACCAGATCTCAATCCAATAGAGCATCTTTGGGATGTGGTGGAACGGGAGATTCGCATCATGGATGTGCAGCCGACAAATCTGCGGCAACTGTGTGATGCCATCATGTCAATATGGACCAAAATCTCTGAGGAATGCTTCCAGCACCTTGTTGAATCTATGCCACAAAGAATTGAGGCAGTTCTGAAGGCAAAAGGGGGTCCAACCCGTTACTAGCGTGGTGTACCTAATAAAGTGGCTGGTGAGTGTATGTGGAAGTATTGTGTGATTGGTCAGTTTGTTCATGTGGAAAGGTACTAGGACAGAAATGGTGCAAAAATAGTCAAGATGGCCAAAGAGCTATCTGTCTGCTTTAAAGATTTGCCCTTGAAAATTTTGATGCAGGTATGGAGTGGAGACCCCGTGTTGTGACGTGTACTTCAGCAGGAGGGGTTTCCTAGGATCTCTGCACTGTGTAAGGTGTATGTGATAACACTGGGCTAAACAATCTAATAAATAAGGCTGCTCCTGTTCTGGGGATGACTTTAGAACCTCTGGAGATGATGTGCAGAGAAGGATTTTACATAAACTCAAGAACATTGTGGACAACCCCGACCCTCCTCTTCATCAGACTGTCATTTAAAAAAGTGTTTTCAATCGAAGGCTTCTTCAATTTCATAATACAGACCGCTACAGGATTTCCTACCCACAGCCATCATCATCTACAGTAGCTCTTTAGTTAAATGAGTCACTACAACATCTAATTTCCCTCTGGGATCAATAAAGTATTTTTGAATTGAATTGAACTGAAATGCTTTGCAGCCACGTGACAAGCCGACCTCTTCACTTCGGATGTACTGTGGAGAACCCTTTAGATGTAAAACACAGGGATTCGTTGGGTTGTTTTGTTTTTAATTGGTTTATTTGATCTTTCCAGTCCTCTGTAACGTGTTTTAATTATTGCTCAGAATCTCACACTTTTCCCGGAGAAAAACTCAAACTGTTAAAAATCACAAACTGCACCCAAAATCCAACTCCTATTCACATTATTTTAAGCTGCTGATGATTTGATGACTGTAGGAGGATTCACTCGACCTCCTCAAACTATTTTTCCAGTCTGTCCGTGTGATGTTTGGCTGCCGTCTACAGATGTCACTGCTCGTCATTTCCAGCAACCATCCTTATCTAACCTTTGACCTTTCCCATAATGTCATGGGTCTCCRCAGAGGTCTTAGCCCCAAACCTCTCCTCGCTGTCCGTGTCTTCATAGCAGCTTGACGTTGCTGGGGAGTTCGCCAGGCCGATGACYGAGTCCATTGAGTCTCTGTGGGTCGTCACCGTGGCGGGCGGAGTCTCACGCTGAAAAAGAGACTTCTGTCTTTTCCTGCCCACCCCGGCCCCGGTGCACCCGTCCTCGGCGCTGTCCTCCCCCGAGTCCCTGCCCTCGTCCTGGGCCTGGTCGTGGAGCAGAGTGACCAGGAAGTTGATGTACTTGACCGCCAGGCGCAGGATTTCATTCTTGCTGAGCTTCTTGTCGGGCGGGTGTGTGGGGATCAGTTTCCTCAGCTCGGAGAACGCGCCGTTAACGTTTTGCTGCCGCCAGCGCTCGCGGCTGTTGGTGAAGACCCGGCGGGCGAGTTTCTGAGGAGGGCCTGATTGAAACACACAAGTCAGTTTCTTTTTTTATCTGTTCAAAAGAACAAATGAGTGAATTTTTCCACACAAAAAAGTCAAAACTTGACTCCAAGGTAGACTTTCCACTTTAAATTAGAAAAACTGAAAACGTCGTTTAATCATTTACTAATTCAGCAGAAATAAATGGTCTTGTTTAAATCCATCTCTGGGAGGATTAGCAGCTGTCCTAAATGTAAATCACTTTTTATTGTGTACTGATAAAAGGCTGGGAATTAAATAAGGTTGTACTTCATTTTCCCATGACAATTTACTTTAATTATAATTTAAATAACAGCCTTCATGTCAGTGCTGGGAAAAGCAAGTTTTGCAACAAAGTTTGAAAAGTACAAACAATTCCCAGATAGCAAAAAATGTTAATTCATTGTTGAATTATGCTCAAAGAAGTTGATTTCTGGTTAAGGTCGATGTCAGTGAATCAACCATCCAATCGAATCAATGTTGTTAATGATTGAAATGCCAACGTCTAATCAATGTTGGATCAACACTGACATATTATCAGTTATGGTTGAAAACCTACAACACTGTTTCAAGTAAGTCACCGACCACTTTTTGTTTAGATTTATAGTTTTTGTGTAGATTTAGTGTCATGTCTAACCATGTTTCAATGTTAACTCAGTATTTTGCTATCTGGGTTGCTGTGACAGTGTCTGTTGTTTGTAATATCAGTACTAATCTATAATAATTATAAATTTCTTCCCTGGTATATTTGTTTTTCTCCCAGAAACTCACAGTCGTTGATCTCCATCTCGAAGTGTGACGACGGCCTTCTCTTTATGCGACTGTTGTTGACGACACCATAGTTTCCTCCTGCAGGTCCCAGGTAAGAGCTGCACACCAAAACACAAACATTAGGAATAAATCTCTGAACAATGTAAAATTAGGTTATTCCATCGTCTGCTGTTACCACTGTTAGGTGCTAACACTTTAAGACAATAATGGTCTAAATGTAATGTGTAATTATATCT